ACACACACACACACACACACAGACAGACAGACACACACACACCGCAGACACACACATCAGACATCTGCAAGACTCTGGCCTCAGGCTGTTTGTGGAGCAAACACACACACAAAGTCAGACAGACACACACACACACACACTCCATTTACATGTCTATTGTCCCAGACACTCAGCCCCTCTCTAGGGCACCGAGCAGGTCATTTAGCGGCCTCTAGGGTGTAACACTCTGACCTGTGTGACCTCTTAAACAGCCCCGCCCCCTTTACACACAGGCCCCGCCCTCCCTTTATGTCTGCGCCAGGTCTTCATGTCTAGACAGAAGACCTGTGTGCTGTCTGGACCCGCGCACACACGTATGCACACGCAAGCAGGCACGCACATCTTTATGGAGACTAATGGAGCTCATGAAGATCATGTCAAGGTTACTCTTTACAACAGGTATCATCATCAGATGATCAAAACACCAGCAAGCGTGCATCAGCAGGACACTTAATATTTCACCAATGTGCACGAAGACTCTTAGTGTGAAATGTCATCTTTTTAAGCTGCTGATTTGCATATGAGGGAAAATAATATGCACTCTTTCAACCATTTGCAGCCAAATAATGTTTTTGTAGTTTCAGTCCTTGATTCTGATTGGTTGAGTCACGTTCTGTTGTAAAATACTCCACAATTAAACACCCTGTGACTGCTGCTTGACAATAAAATGTAGGGTCCCACTTTATATTAAGTGTCCTTAACTACTATGTACTTGCATCAAAAAAATAAATACAATGTACTTACTGTGTTTATAATGTATTTGAGAACTTGTGGTGCTCTTGAGTTGGGATAGAGGTTGGGTTATAGACAGGTTTGGTGGTGTGGGTAGGTTTAAGGGTGGGTTAAGGTGTAGGGATTGGTCAGCAGTGTATTTACAAATGTAATTAAAGAAGTTAATTACAGATGTAATTACATACATGTATTTAATCAAGCATAAGTACACAATAAATACATGTATTTACACAATAAGTACAAACTATTAGTTCCTGTGTAACTACATATTAGTTCAGGCCACAATATAAAGTGAGACCAAATGTAGTGATGTAGTTCAAGACTTTTTAATGACCAAATTAAATACTCCTTATATGGTTTAGACCAGGGATTCCCAAACTTTTTTATTCCGGGACCCACCTAGGCAAGTAATTCAATCTCAAGACCCACCATAATATTTTAATATGGAAAAATGGGTTAAAAGAATGTATCCATTCAAAGCAGTTAAAAATATATGGTGCGCGGCTTTTTGGATTTTGCGATTTGATATGCACAAAATGAGGCTCGAAGTGCTTTTTGTAGGATGCTGGCTGTAACTGTGATCATTTTTTTTGTTGAAAAAGATCCTCTTCTTTTTTTTTAGAGGAGAATATGAACAACCTTTCATCAAGCCCCTTGATTATGATCAAGCCCCGTCACATCGCGGTAAATTCCACTGCTAGTGTATAGCCATAAGAAACTATATAGCTTTTTGATCGACAACTACAAGCTGAAAAAACGTCAGATAAATATGCCAATGCAATTAACATCACTGCTGAATAGAAAAAACGGAAAAAAAAAAAAAAAAAAAAGAACTTTTCCGACGGTCCCTTACTGAGAGCTCCACTCAAACGCGAGCTTTACCGGCTGAACGCAGATTGCGAGGGCTCAAACGGAGCAGTGCTTGTAATGTCAAGCGAAAAAAAAAAAAGGCAGCTGTAAAACATAACCAGCTTTGTCTTTTTGTAAGAAACACACTTTAGATCTTTTTAGGGTAAGAGGTTTTTGAGTTATTGCTTTCAATCGTACTGGTTTTGAGTCACCGCAAAGTAAATATACCTGCAGCTATGTGACGTTGCGCGACCCACCTTTGTTCACTGTGCGACCCACTAGTGGGTCAAGACCCACAGTTTGAAAACCCCTGGTTTAGACTATTTTTCAGATCAGCACGATAAGGTAATAACTCTCATAAAAACGTCATGTATCATTACCAGATGTGTCATTTTTGAAAAATTATTCAGCGACACATTTTTAATGACTGGTGGTCGCCACCTATTGGGTAAATTGTGTAATACCTACAGCTTTTATTCTGAGGGTCGAGTAGCATTAAACATGATTTTAATTCTTTACCGTAAACATCAGTGTTTATATCTGAAGTATGAACTGTTCTTTCAGTACTTGTGTGTTATTTGATTGCTTTTAAAGGGTCACGAAACACCCAAACACGTTTTGAGATGGTGACAGTCGTATATATGTCCCACACTGCTATAAACGCCACATATATTTCAATAAAACCTGAAAACTGGTTGTTTTTGCGTTATTTCAAGCAAATTCAAACTTGCGGTTTTAAACAAATTTTTGAAGCTGTGTCACGCCGATTAGGTACTTGCGTGTATTTCAGCATGTAGACTGGCCGTCTGTACCTGGGAGTACTTCGTGACGTCTCTGAGTGTGCAGCATTCATGAGAAAGACTTGGTTCAAATAAATCAGCGCGCTCTATTGTGAATGAGGTGCAACTTCATTAATATGCATGATAGCTTCAAAGACTGTACCTGTAGAGTGTTCAGACGGCAGAGAGACGCCACGTTGTGTTGCAAAAACAAGTGGGAGAAGAATTGTTTGGAGATACGAGTCCTCAGTGTTGCTTTTATTATTCGCTGCAGTGAAGGTTTTGTTTTCATTTTCCCGCTATGAGAGCGCAGCTGGACTCACGTGTGGATTCGCTCGACAGAAATACCTGTCTAAGGAACAATGTTTACCCGAGAGCTTCTCATCTGGAAATGGTGAAATCTGGATTTGCTGCTCGTCTCCTTTTAATACAGACGCAGCTCCAGTTGGTGTTGATTGTCCTGTCTCTACAGATTTGGCAAGTGAGCGACCAGTGCTCTTTGTTTGTTTATTCAGATGGCAAAGTTAGTTTGTATCGTCAGCAGTACTCTTTCAGTGTTTAAAGACAGACCTTAGTCAAAATGAGTTCTAAGTTACTAAAGTTTACAGCTCGTTAATATCACTACAATACTATAGACTGAAAGATCTGCTGTAAATGCTGCTCCCCCAGTGTAAACATGTAAACACCGTAATCAAACTATTACCGTCGTGTAGGATTTTCACAAGATTTTGTGACAGGAATAACACACACAGCTTTCTGATGCTACCTACAGAGCGCATCTAAGTTACCGGGAAATGTGGAGGGTTTTTCTCTCATTCGCCATGTGGTATCAAACACTGCATTAGAAATACACGCTTCCAGCAGCTCCTTGAATCAAATAACTCGTTTGAGACAAAGGGCATAAATGAAATGTTCCTGAATGAAAGTGAAAGTGCCAAACTGCAGTTTAAGTCCACCATTTAATAATTTGTCAAATAATTCGAGTTAGTCTTTCTCCCCTGGGGTCCGTTCTTCGTACATGGATTACTCAGTAAGCTGGATTTGGATATTGACGATTTGACACGATTCAGGATCGTTTCGTTCTTCAAAGCTGATCCGAGAGTTGTCATAGCAACAGTTCTGCTAGGTCAAACCTGATCGGGAGCAGGTTCAATTCATATAAACAGGATTAGATCAGCTCAGTTCAAGCAAAGATAATAGAAAAAGTATGTTCTGAATTCTGATATTTTCTTACAGTAACTTGGGAAAATGGTACATATTTGTTAACTATATATATAAAGTTATAGTCATTAATAAAATAAATAAATTTATACATATTAATAAAACTTATACAAGATGCACCCTCGAAATGAAAGTACAAAGACTGCCACCTGGTGGTGCAAAGAGAAAACTTATTGATATGAACTTTTTAGATCACTTTAGTACAAATTGTGTATAATAGACATGCACAATATGTGACTTTTTTTTAAAGCAATAATACATTTATACAGTCATAAACATGTTTTGATAGTTAATATGACAGTGATTTGATGCTTCACAATAGTTGCAGACGCCTTTACCAATATCAAAATGCTTTTGTAAACAACCAGTTATTCTTTACACCGATTAAAAAACGTCTACTATAATAAAGAAAATCTTTTCTAAATGTAGAACTAAATACACTGATTTGCATTGTAATACATGATGAATACTTTTGTCTTGACAAATGTAAGTGTAAAGCCTGCAGCTCACAACAAATGTGGAAGATTATTGCGTGTCATATTTAACAAGCCGTTTACTGCTAATTTGGTGTAATTTTGCTCACATGGATAATTGAATATTAATCAGATGATGTCTTTACGTTGCTGTGCCGTCAGCCAATCGCTGCATTGCTGATCATGATTTCGAGGATCGATAGATCTGTCCTTCACAACACACGCAGCGATCTCAGATCAGTTCATCCAGACATTCTAATCTGATTCGCGAACTTGTTTGAAGAACCAAATTAGCGAGAGATCAGTTATCAAGATTAAAAGATCCAGGATCTGTCAAATCATCTTAGATCATTTAAGCGAGGTACGAAGAACGGACCCCTGCAACTGTGTGTTTGTTTTGCCTCTGTGAAAATCGGTGTGTGGCCAAACCAAAACTCCCATTTTTGTGCAAATTTTAATGCACCTTCCCTCTTTCTCTCCTCCGACACTCCCCCCTAAACGGAACGGGACACGCCCACTTTTTCCAAACAAGAGGTGTGAAAACACCCTGCTGAAACAGGGGGGATTAGTGGCCCTTTAACTCTAAAAAGACACTGGCTGAACACTAAAGACTGAATCTTTCTTGGTCAAACGCAGATTTGAATGCAGCGCTTGGAATGATTAATAAACATGCACATCATGGTCTTTAATAACTGTTGTGTGGGTGTGAATTGAGATCCTGATCTTTTAATGATCAATTGTGCAGCTACACTGCATTAATGCAGCCTAAACAAGAAGTGACACCTTTAATAACCTAACACCTTTAATAACCTAAGAAAGCATTTAGGTCCCATCACAACTTCTTCCGTCATCATTATATTTTACAGGAAAGCCAAAACGCTTTCATACAACTGAAGGATGGACTTACATAGTCTGGCAGGACGGTCCTGTCCTCGTCTCCAAGAGGCCCTCGTAAAGACTGCGTCGCCTGCTCCAAAACCTTATTGTGCTTCTTTGACAGCAGAGCAAACAAACTGAGAGAAAAACAGAAAGGAGGAAAGAGTCAGAACTGAAATTGTTTCTTGAAAGCATTCGATGCAACTTATTTATCCTTCCTAAATAAATAATGTGTCTTTCCTAGAACGAACAAAAAAAATCAAACCAACAGCAGTTTGTATCAGATTATGAGATGGACATTTTCAGATGCTCATTTCATTATCATTTAGAGGTCGTTTACATTGCAAAAAATGCTTTAACTTGATTATTTCGTCTTGTTTCTAATCCAAATATCTAAAAATTATAAAACCAAGAAGCATTTTCTGGATGTGCAGCACATATTGTTTTGTTTTCAGATATAAGTCAGCCACACTTTACAAAAAGGTTTCATTAGTTAATGTATTTACTAACATGAACCACACTCACTGGCCACTTTATTAGGTACAGCTGTCCAACTGCTCTTTAACGCAAATTTCTAATCAGTCAATCCCATGGCAGCAGCTCAGTGCATTTAGTCTTGTAGACATGGTCAGGATGATCTGCTGCAGTTTAAACCGAGCATCAGAATGAGGAAGAAAGGTGATTTAAGTGACTTTGAAACTGGCATGGTTGTTAGTGCCAGACGGGCTGGTCTGAGTATTTCAGAAACTGCTGATCTACAGAGATTTTCCTGCACAACCGTCTCTAGGGTTTACAGAGAATGGTAAAAAAGTATATCCAGTGAGTGGCAGTTCTGTGGGCGCAAACTGTAGGGTCAGAATTTGGTGTTAACTACATGCCTTGTATCAATGGTTCAGGCTGGTGGTGGTGGTGGTGTAATGGTGTAAGGCAGGGGTTCCCAAACTTTTCAGCACGCGACCCCTAAAATAACAATGCCAGTGACTCGCGACCCCCAATATCCTCTGAGGTGGTTATAAATACATAAAACTTGCATGCAATGGCGAACACACACACTCCAATAGACCAAAGTCTATTCTTCGTTTATTTTTATTTTTTATGTATGTCAGTGCTGTAAATGGGCCAGAAAGTTTAACCTGGTGTTATAAAATCAATCTGCTGCATCTGAAGCTATTGCTGTCTTTAATATAATGTATTTACCCCAGGGGTCGCAATCCAATAGAACAAGTAAATAAGCTACTATACTAACTATAAACGACTGTTTGTTTCTCTTCAGTTGGTTATGGATAAACTATGGTAATTCTTATGGCCTAATAATAATAATAAGTAGATTTTTGGAAATCACCAGGCGACCCCCCTTCATTGTTCCGCGACCCCTCAAGGGGTCCCGACCCCCACTTTGAGAACCACTGGTGTAAGGAATGTTTTCTTGACACACTTTGAGCCCATTAGTACCAATTGAGCGTTGTGTCAACGTAACGTTACATATGCACTGCAAAAAAAATGCAAATAATCTGCCAATGGGGTAAGCAAAATAATCTTATCACAAATCGAAAAACAAGATTATTTTGCTGACCCCACTGGCAGATTATTTTGCTTGATTTAAGGAAAAACTCACTTCATTTTGGCGTATTATTTCTTAAAACAAGACAACATGTTTTGCTTGTCTAGATAATGCTTCTTGATTTAAGTATTTGTATATATTTGGTCTAGAAACAAGACAAAAAAATGAAAAGCATTTTTTGCAGTGTGCTAAAAAATGGGTGGTGAAAGCAAAATCACCTTGTTTTCAGCTTCAACCAATCAGTTTGCCTTGCAAAAAAATATTTAACCAACTTTGATTTCTTTAATGTTTTCAGAACACAGCCACAGCCTTATCACCCTGCAGAACCAAGACCGGTTACTCACTGAAGCTAAGCAGGGCTGAGCCTGGTCAGTACCTGGATGGGAGACTACTAGGGAACACTAGGTTGCTGTTGGAAGTGTTGTTAGTGAGGCCAGCAGGGGGCGCTCAACCTGTGGTCTGCGTGAGTCCTCATGCCCCAGTAAAAGTGAAGGGGACACTACACTGTCAGCGGGCACCGTCTTTCGGATGAGACGTTAAACTAAGGTCCTGACTCTCTGTGGTCATTAAAAGTCCCATGGCACTTCTCGTGAAAGAGCAGGGGTGTAACCCCGGTGTCCTGGCCAAAGTCCCTCTATCGGCCCTTACGATCATGGCCAACCAATCATCCCCTTCAACCGAATTGGCTCTATCATGGTCTCTCCACTCCACCAACAGCTGGTGTGTGGTGAGTGCACTGGCGCCGTTGCATCATCCAAGTGGATGCTGCACACTGGTGGTGGTGTGGAGAGACCCCTCCTCATGATTTTGAAGCGCTTTGGGTGTATGGCCATACACAATAAATGCACTATATAAATACACATTACACTCCATTACATTCAGAAATAAGCTAAAATTAGGTGGGTTTTTCCTTAAATAGATGTAAATAATGGGTGGTGTAAGCAAAATAATCTTGTTTTCAGATTGAAATAAGGTAATCATCATCAACAGAAAGAAAAAACGTTTTGAACAAGTGATGATAGATGAGTAAATAATGACAGAATTAGATTTTTCAGTGAGCTGTCTCATTAAGTGTGCATGAACTAATGTTAATAGATGCAACTTCAGATTTTAGCAGTGAATTAGTAAACACTAAAATGAAATGACACAATGCTGTATGAATATTGTCATTGCTGTTTTTAACTAAACTAGAATGTTATTATAAAGTGTTACTGCTTCATTCATTCAGTCTCCTTCAGCTTAGTCTTTTATTTATCAGGGGTCGACACAGCGGAATGAACCGCCAACTATTCCAGCATATGTTTTACGCAGCGGATGCCCTTTCCAGCCGTAACCCAGTACTGAGAAACACCCACTCTCACATTCACACACACACACACACCTACACTACAGCCAATTTAGTTTATCCAGTTGACCTATAGCGCATATGTTTGGACAGTGGGGGAAACCAGAGCACACGGTGGAAACCCATGCCAACATGGGGAGAACATGTAAACTCCACATAGAAATGCCAACTGACCCACCCGGGAATTGAACCAGCGACCTTTTTGCTGTGAGGCGACAGTGCTGACCAGCTATGTTAACTAATGCTAAACTAAACTAAAACACATTAATAAAAAATAAAAAATAAAAAATAAAAAAACATAAATTAAATGAAGTGAATTAGTGTCAGTTTTAGTTAAGGGTCATGATTGCTGTGGTGTCAGTCGCTCATTAGTGTGGCGTTGGGCAGGATCAGTGCTCTGCTTTCACAGCTCTTGTAATGAAGCTTAACTTTGTGCAGTGTGTAATTTGGGTCAGAGTTTTCTCTCAGGTCTGAGCAGAAAAACCTCCACACACACTGCAGCTCCTCCAAGAAGTTCTTCAAATCCTACTTGACTGAAAAAATGGGTCACATTTTAGAGCTTCTGGAGACAAAAAAAACAAGACTGCAGGACGGCAGAAACATCTGAAGCATTTAAGCTGTGATCTGAGAGTTAAAATATTTTTTTTAAATTCACCAGATGTTGGTAAAAAACAAAAACATCCATATATGAAAAAGTGTTGAACACATGAAGAAAGGGAGGTGCAGTTGGGCAGTGGAAGCCCAGACAGCAGCTGAAATCTCTCAGCCGTTCTTCAGCAACCCTCTGCCTTTACTCAGTGTAAATCAGGGGTCACCAACCTTTATGAAACTGAAAGCTACTTTTTGGGTATCGATTATTGTGGAGGGCTACCAGTTCGATAAACACTTTTTAAATAACAAATTTGCTCAATTTACTTTTAATTATACTTTATGATTTTGGTAATAATTAATGATATTCATCCATGTGAAGACACTGATCATGTTAATGATTCTCATAAAAGTTATCAACAATGATTTAACAGGGTGGAAAATACCCTGTATTTAATGTATCAATGTGCAACACTTTATTTTTATATATCTCTGCAAATATTTACATTTTTAAATTATTTCTTCTAAATTAGATGAAGCTCACTGGTAAGTAGCGCTATGGTGAGTTATTTTTACAACAGGCCTGCGGGCAACACATGTGATCCTCCCAGGCTACCTGGTGCCCGCGGGCACCATGTTGGTGACCCCCGGTGTAAAAGAATTTCAGCTGCTTCAGTTCAACATCTACATTAGCAGGAGGATGAAGATGAAACCAGGGTGGACATTTCAGCAAGACAATAATCCAATACACAGCAGAGGAAACTCTTAAATGCTTTCAGAGGAAGAAAATCAAGCTGTAGAATGGCCTAGCCAATCACCTGACTTGAATCCAATAGAAAATACAAAATAAAGCTCAGATTTAATAGACGAGACCCACAGAACCATCAAGATTTTTACGCTCTGTTGAAGTCTGTGAAAACTCATTCTCATTCATGGACTTCATTCTCCATATGAGAGGCGTCTTTAAAGGGTCACGAAACACCAAAACACATTTTTTGAGCTGTTGACAGTCGTATATGTGTCCCACACTGCTAAAAACACTATTAGGACGCCTATATTTCACTAAAAAGTGTAAATTGGTTGTTTTTGCGTTATTTTAAGCAAATTCGTACTTCCGGTTTGAAACGAATTTTTGAAGCTGCGTCACGGTCATGACATAATAGCCTGTATTCCAGCGTGCAGACTGGACGTCTGTGCCAGAGTGTGTCTTATTATGTCTTACAGTGTGTTACATTAATGCATGAGTAAGGCTTGGTTCAAACCAATCAGCGCGCTCTATTGTGCAACTTCATTAATATTCATTACTGTCACAGTGTAGACGGCAAAGACGCCACGTTGTGTTGGCAAAACAAGCTTGAAGTGTTGCTTTTATAGTTTGCTGCCGTTAAGTTTTGTTTTCATTTTCTCTCTGTGAGAGCTCAGCTGGCGTCACGTGTGGATTAACAGTGTTCGCGACGCTCGACAACAATAACTTACATGTCTAAGGAGGAACATTGTTTACCTGAGAGCTGTTCTCATCTGCAAACGCTGAGATCCGGATTCGCTTTAGTCTCTTCTTAATAAAGACGCAGCTCTAGTTGCTGGTGATTGTCCTGTCTCTACAGATTTGGTAAGTGAGCAACCAGTGCTCTTTGTTTATTCAG